ATGGGATAAATGCAGAGCACTAATTCCGAGTATGGGTCACCATACTTGGCCACATGTCACGTCACTTTTCACTTTTTCACTTTTCACTTTTCAATATTACAGCGAGAATAAAAGTTACTCCTTCTTTCTTTGCGTGAACATTTGTGTGGCGTTATGCAAATCTTCCCACAGAGCGACGTAGGTATGTTGGGGCGTGTTAGAACGAGCCGTTTTAGGTAGGTGTGGCTGACTCTGAACTTTTATAAAGAATATCTCTTTGGATTTGAGACTTTAGTCTTTGCAACTTTACAGATCTTCTTTATGCGCCAAGAGCTTGTAACACTCCAAAGAGAAAGGAAAAATTGAAATCGCATCATATGACCCCTTTAAATATAATAGGTTATTTGAATAATAAAACCAGCTATTTAAAATTTCAGCTAAAGTAAATTTTTAGGCTATCTTACAATTTTTATCTTACTTGATTTTGGTTTACGGTCACTACAGCTCCATAATAAGCACTACGGAGAAATACTCATTCGTTATGTCAAGATCTGTGATCTAGAAACCTACATATCCATTACCCATGTCATGGCGTACTGTAAATAATCAACATGAAAAAAACATTTCTGAGTTTGCAATCATCAGCCAGTGAGGATTCTAATGCTCATGCACATGACGAGAAACATAAACAGTTTCTGGGGGTTTCATTGGTGTGTTTGATTAAAAATGTTAGGGTTTTAAAAACAACCTGTGCTTTCTATAGGAAAGGAGTGGGATTAGCGTTCATGTTCTTTAATGCATCTGCAGGGCCGAGATGAAGCCCGCAAATGCATTTTAAAACGGTCGACTTTCTGTGAACCCTCCTGCACTTTGTGAGACAAGAATCTGCGAGCAACTAACAATCTCAGGGGCTGCCAACTGAGAAACATATGACCCTGTAATATGCACATGACTCAGTATTTATAGCGATGAAAACTAGCTCTGTTGTTCAAAAACCTTGTGCTTCTTCTTCTTCTTCTCCTTTCCTCCCTCAGGGTGACCAGTGCTGGCACTTTACAACTAATAGCCCACACTTATAAACTTGATGTCAGCTGTCATCACCTAAATAATCCACTATCACCCTAACGATCGCCCAGTTCATTGTCTGCTTCCAAACAGTTCCCATAATCCCCCGAGGTGAGCTGATTCAGTGCTACATTACACATATGTCATGTATGTCAACACCTTCATTCAAGGCCACCTCTGGTTTATGATTCCTAAGAAAAGATACAAACAGCTATTCCTCCATGTCACTGCCTGGTGATGGAGCCTTCAAAGCAAGACCAGAGAAACGTCTAACTGCAAGAGCGAGATCTTGAAAACCATTTCCAACTCATCCGTCTGGAAATACTACAACATATGCATGTCATCCAGGATGCACAAGTTTAAACAGGCGTCGGTGTGAGGTATGGAGTTAAAGGAACCATAGCTCCATGAGATGTAGATGAGGAGAACGTACCTGTAGTGGAGAGGTCCAGCAGCGATCCTGGCGCGTCCGTCCACAGGCTCTCAGGCGCATACGCTCGCACACATGGGCTGCGGTACAGGGTCACGTCGGGTTCCTGGGGGGGGTGTTGCAAAGAAAAACAGTCAACACAAACAAAGGGACTGCAAGAAAAGATCAGCGGTTGTGTCGTTTTGGTGATGCCAAGAACACAGAAAATTATTCTAAAACTAGGTTTTGGAGGACATCATGTGTCAAATGAAAACCATTTAAATTAAAATGTAAATTTAATATGAGGAGTTAATGGGCCTATACGATGCCTTTTTCTGTCAAATAGTTATTCGTTCAACAGCATATTGAAAGAATAGAATATAAAAAAAAATTCAAAACAATTGCTGAAAAAAATAGCTTTTAAATAAACTTTTTTGAGATAGAAAAGTTTAGCATTTATTTGAGGTATTTCATGCAGTGTATCTGGGTAAAATAGCATACCCATAATAATGCAAAATACATAATAAACAAAATATGCAGACATAAAATATGCATGCAGTTTCTTGGTCGGCAAGATCTATTTTTAAAAGTTAATTTTCTGACTCTATCTTAGGGTGTTCTGACATTTTAATTGTTGTCTTTAAATTTCACTAGCAGGAATTTCCTCTTGTCAACTTATTGAGGCAAACTATTAATGTGCAGCAAATTTATGGCAGGTAAATCTTACTTGCATGTGAGCTCACAGAAACATAGCAGTCATGTCTGTCTGAACGTTGCATTTCAGTAAGGGATTCTATATACCATTCTTGCACAGCTTTGCTTCTTTTTAGAATAAGATATTGTATAAAAACGATGAGCACTATCACTAAAACAGCTACGAGCACAAAAGTGAGAGAAAACATTCAGCTGGCACTGACATAACTGGACACAGAACTTTTGTCGCATATGGAGCTGTCTTACAAAAATAATGACTCATTTATTTATTTCAGCAAACCGGACAAACTACAGAACCAAATAAACAAATTCCTGATGCCCCGTTTTCCTCTTATTTTTTAGCATCAGATAAACAATGCCTAACTGCTAACATATGCTCAAAGGTTAAAGGGGTCATATGATGCTGCTAAAAAGAACATTATTTTGTGTATTTGGTGTAATGAAATGTGTTTATGCGGTTTAAAAAACCACATTATTTTCCACATACTGTACATTATTGTTTCTCCTCTATGCCCCGCCTTTCTGAAACGCGTCGATTTTTACAAAGCTCATCGGTCTGACAAGTATGCACTGAAATCAAACTCACACTGAAGTTTTGGATAACACTCAAAGAAAAACTGGTTTAAGCACATATTGCACTCTGATCTGCTTCTTTGTGATTTAAGGCATTTCTTGCCTTTTCAAGACTTAAGATTTGGTCACCTTAGTGACATTCTGGCAAAATTCCGCAGACAAAAAGGTCCACTGTCTATTGTCAACAGCATGATGTATGAAGCACAACTTACAAAGAAGTGACTTTCAAATCAAGAAACTTTATATTGGCCAACGCAGTGAACCTATGCGACCAACTTGAACCTGTTTCTATTTTTATTGTATTTTTTTTAAAGATTTATTTTTGCCATTTTTATGCCTTTAGGTCGGACAGTAAGTGGACAGGAGAGAGAGGGGGATGGAATCGGGAAAGGTCTGCGAGCTGGGACTCAAACTTGGGATGCCCAAAACACAACAGCGTTACATGTCGGTGTGCTGCCCGTTTGTATTTTTTAAATAATTATCCTTATTTAAAAATACATTTTGTTCTACAACAAAAATTAAACACTGCGAATGATTTGCAAATCACATAAACTGACAATGCTTAACAACGTATGTTTTGTAAAAACACATGGGCTCATGTTCATGTCTGAGGTATGACAGAGTAATTTATGAGTAAATGTCTCTTCAAGTAATGTTCACCACAGTTCTTACTTTACTCATAAATCAAAAACCGCTAATCTAAAAAGCCATTAGAAATTCCCAAGGGAAACCAAGGCTAATTCTCTTCAGGGTTTTAGGACTACAAACTTAACCGCTCTATAGGACTGAACATTCTCTTTCTGTGAGAGTAAAACTCACCCAGAGAAGAAATAATAATAAAACTCTTATGAATAATTGATAAAACGATGAACAGGACTGCAGGACTTGCAACGAGACAATTTTATTCTAGTCTCACTCATTTTATAGTGCAAGAACCACATATATTTAGTTATTACAACACAAGTGTAATTTGTTTAAGAGGAAAACAAACATTTATGAGAACAATATGATTTTAATTTAAGCTTAGCTGAAAGAATGAATTGTTTTAGCTCCACTGCCTATGTAAACAAAGCATATTGAGAGACCAGCCCTGAGACATAGCGGGGTTGCAAGGCAACGCATTCAGACACAGGAGACCCCTCTTTTGTAACTTTTTGCTCATGGGAAAACACAGCCACAGGGGCACAGAGATGTTGTTGGATGATCAGGATCCGCGATTTAAAGATGAGACTAGATCCCAGCGATGAATGGCTTGATCTGGTTCTCGGTTCACTGACACAAGTCTTCCTCCCTTTGTTTGCAGACAAGTACAGCAGCTTACATGGGATCGCAGGCACCAATTAATCAATAGATCAATAGCGAGACGCACGGAAAGACGGTCAGTGGGCTGACTGTCATTGAAAAGATTAATGGAATGGGAAAAGATAACAATAGGAGCGAAACAAGAACACTTGTGTGTGAGTGAGGAGGCAGAGAAAGACAGCAGGCTGAAGGTGTTGAAAAAGACAGAAATAGCATATACTTGCTCAACCCGGCAGCACCAATCACGGGAGAGGCAAAATACAATGGTCTCCATGACAACTCAGGAGACCATAGACTCCAAGCTGCCTCTGAGCAATAACAGTCCAACCATCTAACTGTGCGACAGCCAGTTATAACCCACTGTATTTTTAGCATGATGCTCCAAAAATAAACACATACACACGTACACGCCTTGTATGAGGTATGAATCATGACTCATCCTTAATATCTTTATTGCCACCAATTATTCGTGGCTGATGGTGATATTGCTGCAATTACAAATTTCTTCAAATGAAAAAGAACTCAATAATGATTTACCTTTTTATGCACAAAGCATGTTTGATACCAGTCGAGATATTTAAAAATGGAATGGTAATTCATGCATTGTATTTGGGTGAAACAGCATACCCATAATAATGCATAAAAATGATTAGTAAATATACATAGCAATGTGAGAATGAAAGGGATTTAATTTTTTATTATGACAAACAATAGTCTAGATGTTCTCATTTTTGTACAATAGAGTATATTGACTGCAGGGGGCGCTCTTACATTAGAGAAATTGGGAAATGCATCTGTGAAGGATTGCTAAAACACATTATACAGTAGAGCTTCTCATCTGTGCCACTATCAGACAATATACATTTATATATACATATATACTTATGTATGTGTGTGACAAATTAGTGTAAAAATAGGTAAATACATGTACATTAGCATAAGATCAGTCCATTCATCAACATCAACAGGGCAAACCAAACAAATTCAATTAAAAGCATCAAACTGCATGATACAAATAGCTCCTATAGCTCACCATCTGAAATAAATGAGGTAATGGCATTATTTTTAAATAATTGTTCAATGTTCAATCACGAGTATTGAGTACCTTATAACTGTCGCTGCCACAATTACAGACAACTACCATTTTAAGCTTTGCAAGTTTTTTTTCTCCAAACTGATGCCCAAGAGTGTCCTGAGTGATCAAATTGTCAGAGATTCTGTGTTTGTTTTGACAGTCAGCCGACCGTTTGATTACCCTGGACACTTTAAATGAAATCATGATGGTGGGTTTGAGTTGACAGTGTTTTATAAGTAATAAGACTGCAGGATAGGGTTAGTGACATTTTTGTGATGATTGCCTCTTTGGGCCTTGGTAGCAGTGAAAAGAGAAGCTCTTCTCTTGTTCTGACCTACTTACAGTTTCTTGAGAGCTGGAAAGTGAACAGCATTTCAACATATACATACACAGAGGAACACACACAGGCAATCACACACCAGCACAAGCATCGCCCCTGCTGGTCAGATGGACTTTTCGCACATCTCCTCTCATCCAGCAATACACTCAAATACATCCTATTCCTTCACAGGAACATCATGCACCTATTATTATTTTTTTTTAAGTCAAATCAAACTACATAGAAGTTCTTTGAACAAGTAAATTTGATATATAATCTACATAATTATTTTAGTTCAAACTGATTTTTTTTTTTTTGTGGATTTAATATTTAATATGAAATTTAATATCCACTCAAAAAAAAGGGACATACTAACTTGCAAATTAGAAGGGGGAAGGGGGATTTCTGTAAGGTTTAACAGAGGGCAAATGTCTTTCAACAAAACATTTTGCAGCATTATATATAATGCCAGTAATAAGTGTTAAAAGGGCACATTTTCTGCCTGCATGGGAGTCGGTGTAATTATATTAATTGGTTTTTATAGAGCAGGCAGTGCATCCACTGGCAACAGCTAAAGCCCAAGGGAGCCTGTGTAGCCTGTGTGAAGTCCACAGGATTGCACTCACTGCATTAATGCCTGAGCAACACAGAGCAAATGTAATTATAAAAAAAAAAGGAAAAGACAAGACCTTGGGTCTGTGTTCCTGTCACAGACACAGAGATAATAACGATTAAAGGACCAGTCTTAAGTAATGAATTACCCCTGCTCTGTATGCGCACTATGGAAAGGGTTAGGGTTAGGGAATGTGTTAGATGGCCCAGCACCACCATCCAGCAAAGAGCTATGAATGAAAGCACAGGGCCTGCCAAATACATGCACATCCAAGCATCCATGTGTGGGTGCACTGTATATCTACACTGTGTAAGAGGCCATTTACATGACGTATTCTAATGTCCATCTGCACAGTTTTCTTTTTATATAGCTTTTTAATCTATCCATAGTGTATATAGTGGTCTCAAGTGGTCTCAAAACAATTTTAAGAAAGTATAGAGAAATAAGAAAAAGA